AATTTTGGACTCGTGCCAGCTCCTTAGAGCTCAAATCGCGCATTGTGGGGAACGTGTGGCCTCTGTCTGTCGCACGCTCCTGTATACAGGGCTAAGCAGAGAGAGGTTCACACCATCACACCCCCCACCCGCACAATTTTTGAGGTTCACCGTGCGCTCCCACCAATTAAATGGGGGGAACACTAGGGGAGTTCTACTTTCATCGTAGTAAGATCATTACATCCCTTAAGATAACAATGGAAAATGATAAAAAGAAACAAAAAACAAACAAAAAAGGAGCACAGAGTATAATTCAATCTGTCACATTAGCTAGTATTAACCGTGAGCTATCTACCTACAGGTGAAACTCGAATAATTAGAATATTGTGCAAAAGTAATTGCAGTAAGTGCTGCAAAAGGGGCCCAAACCATGTACTGAGTACATATGCATGCTTGTACTTTTCAGAGGTCCGATATTGTTCTATGTACGATCCTTGTTTTATTGATTGCATGTAATATTCTAATTTTTTGAGGTTGTGGATTTGGGGTTCTTGGGGTTTTCATGAGCTGTAAGCCATAATCATCACAATTATGACAAATCACGGCTTGAATTATCTTGCTTTGCATGTAATGAGTCTATCTCATATATTAGTTTCTTCTGGAACTCGTAGTATTGCAATTCTCCCATTTTTACGTGCCATTAGGCAAGACGGGAATCCCCACCTGTAAATAATACCCGCTGATTGAAGATTCTCCAGGAGCGGGCGCAAGGCCCTACGTCGTGCTAAAGTCTCCTGGGCTAAATCAGGGTATATCTGAATGCGAGCTCCTTCATAATCCATCAGTGGTTGTTCCCGCGATTTCCGCATAATATTCTCTTTTTCCACACAATAGTGAAAGCGGCAGATGACATCCCGCGGTGTCTCAAGTGCTAAATTGCGCGGTCGCGGAACGCGGTGTATGCGGTCAAACTTCAAGGGAGTGGATGGTGTTTGTCCCAAAATGTTGTTAAAGATGCCCCTTAATGTTTCTGCCAGATCTAAGTCGGTTATAGCCTCAGGTAGACCTAGAAACCGCAGATTATTCTTGCGCCCCCCCGTTCTCCTGGTCCTCCAGGCGATAAGCCATAGTACGTTGCGCCCGCCTCAGTGAATGCGTCTGCACCTGAAGGGCCCTTATCACCTCCGAATGAGAGTCTAAGCGCGATTCTCCTTCATCCACTCGGTGTAACAAGTGTGTCATCTCTCCCTTCAAATTTTCTAGTTCCATCTTCAGAGATTGCTCTAGCTGGGCAAACATTCCTGTCAGCTCGTTTTTTGGAGGGAGCGTTTTCATCATCTCTTCCATAGATAGTGTTGCTGAGCACTCCAGTTCACCCCCCTGATCTGGTCCGTGATTGGGAGAGTCCGCCGCCCTCTGACGTGGATACTGTCTGGGAGAGACACTCAAGGGAGCCCCCGAGCCCTGTGACCGGTTCAGAGACTCAGACGCCATATAGCGCTGGATCGAGCCTGTACTAGGTGCCTACGGTGCTCCTTGACCGCCGGTTTTCTTGCAGTTCATCCTTTGCTTTCCTCAGGGGTACACCCGGTTGGTGCTCGGGATGTCTGTATGCTTATGTGCGGGCAGGTAGCGTGGAGCTCACATTGACGTTAGGTGCGACCGGCCGCCATTACGACCAGGACACGCCCCCCCCAGGGATTTTGTGGTTTATAACCAAGATGATAATGACTATTGGAGATTTATAGGTACCAATGGAGGCACCTGATTGGTGCCTCCATTGAGACTTGTTCTGCCTGATGAAGGGGATCCTGTGTGACCCCGAAACATTGCAATAAGTGTACTGTTGCATGAAACGTCAATAAAGAGACGTTATTCTATTTTGGAGTGCCGGTGTCCATAATTTCTTATCCTTTAACCCCTTCATGACTGAGCTAGTTTTTAGTTTCTGTTCCTAAATGACTGACACACTTTTTACATTTTTGCTGTGTGATTCTTCCACAGCAGCAAGTTTTGATTATTATTATTTTTAGAATTTTTTCAATAATA